AACTTTTGTAGTTTACAAAACGAGTAATTCACGCTTTAAGTCATTTATATATGTTGCACTTCTATATATCTTTTCAACGTACTATTAACACATAATTTAGAAATCTAATGTGATTCTATACTTCTATAGTACAATCATATAAACTGTAGTAGTTAAAATTTATATTATAATTCTTGTTCACAATTGACTCTGATTCCTATATTAGTGTACTGTTTATCTCAACTATTTAAAAACTTTTGACCCCTTAACAAAATGTCCGTTTTAATATTGTGAAATTGAAAACTCATCGAGGTCAAAAGCGAAACATTTGAAAGATAATCAAATTAATTCAGTTGAATCATATTTTAAAAACAATTTTGATACGCTAGGATCAAGTTACTTCGTCTTTTTCAGTTTTTTTTTAAGTATATGTAAGATTGATAACTTTGTTAAAATTTACACTGAAACATGTTTATTGTATTTCTGTGAAAATAAATACCTTAACAAGTTGAAATAAATCTCAAATCTCATTTTTAATGATACGGTTCAAAAGATCCGAACTCGGGGTAGCTAAAAAAACAGCAGTGACAGGGACTTATTTAAAAAAAAAACTTATCAAGGCAAGGCAAGGCTGCAATTTCTTAGTGTAATGTCTGCTTTAGATTTTATTTATACATTGATGTATAAGTCTTAAGACTTCTATAACTGATAAATGTAAGTAAGTAACAATTAAAAGGAATGTACTAAGAATTGATATATTGAAAAGCACTTGAGACACAACGATATACATATCAGAGAATGTGGTTTGATATGACTTATTCATACATACCATAAAAACTGATATAACAAAATAATTCAAAACTTTTGTATACAATGCGTTCTGATTTCTGGCTTTGATATTAATACAAAAAGATTAACTTAAAATATATTCGTAAGAAAGGACTTAGTTGAATTATAAATGATAATTTTCTCTCGTCAACGAAAAACAATTGTAAAAAAAATGATAGTAATCTAGTTTCAATATTTTAAAGCATTACTTCAGTCTTTCAAGTGTCGACTTAAAGTATGTTAAAAATAAATAAATATATAATATTTTTTTTGGATCTTTTTATATGTATTTATAACATCTAGGGATGTAAGCTACAACTATGCTACAGGCGTGACTAAAACATGTATGAGTTCTTTGACCCGTCAGAAGACCTGTTAAAATACATGAGAATAAAATATTAGTATGCGGCTCTGACCCGACAATTGTAAGCTGTCAAACTGAGTAAGTACCAAAGTGAGATTTAAAAATTACATGTGGTGAGAGTGACTTTTGAATACATATATCTGCCAGTCATTAATACCTTATTTAGATCGTTGAAAAGTAATATAAAACATATCATGGGACAAAAAAATTGTTTGCCACAAACTTAGAAGAAATGTTTGTTTTTACGTCGATTTTCTCTTTAAAATTGGTAAGGTGTTTTTGTATCACATCGGTTTCATACAGTTTGAAATCTTTTTTTTCATCAATTATTTACCTAAACCGTATTAAAATTCTTTGAGGAAGAGAGAACTTTTTATATTGGAAACCCCTTCAATTTAGTGGTCGAGGTGGTGATAAGAGCCTCCATAAATAAATTGATGTATAAACTATCATTTTTTCACACGCCGTTATTATTTTAATCCATAAGCTTGTAGAAAAACTTGCAAAAATATGTATATACCTACTTTGGGCTGATACCAATTAAAATAAGCCTTTTGTTAAGCATTCGACTAGAAGATTATATATATAAAGAAGTGAAGCAAATTATAAATAAATTTCTGTAAACGTATAAAAGTATTTCTAATATTTAAGATATTTATATCGTTTTATATGAGAACTTTAATATTCAAATCAACCCAGTTATAAATATCGTCAACATGAAAAGAAACGCTATCTGAAAGTCAATATATTTTGATTTGAAGAAGACATAACAACGAAATCAAATTAGTTTCTATGAGACGCTTAAATATTATAAAAACAATAATTTTAAATAAAATCTTTAAATTTAAACAAAATATTTGATTTAGTATAACTTTAAAACAGGAATCCAAATAGTAAACTAAAATGTTAAAGTTGCAAGTAATACTCCATTATAAGAGATGTCTCATAAACTTTGCAACTTATCTCTCTTAAACAAAGAAAAGAGTTTTATTGCGAGACATCGAAAGCAATGTTAAAAAAACAGTACTTTTTAATGTTACACCTTTTCTTTAGCTAACAATAAGTTATAAATATTGTTAATATTGATAATCTTGTTTCGTTTCGTTATTTTCTTTTAAATAATCTAAATGTTGTGAAACACTAATAATCTGAATTTAATTCACTCTTTTATTTTTCTATGAAATAAAAGATAAAAGTTTAATTTTCGAGAATGTATATCAGACATACAGAGTGTGTATACATTGAACATTTGTTACTTTATCTTTTTGTTTTACTTTCAAACTCTTCAATAATAAATATCTCACTGAAGCTTCACGTCACGTTATTTATAATTCAAAGCGTCGTATGTGCACGCAGTCCCACATAATATATACATATATATAAATTAACAACTGAATATTATAACATGTATGTTTGTACAAACTCTTATAGACACTGAGCTCTAATATAAAATAGTACAGTGTCATATAAAAATTATTATAGCCGGATAAAACATACTTCTTTACATAATTTTGTAAAAAACTACATACTCATGAATGGTCACATCTCGTCTGTCCGTGATCACGGTTGTTGAAAAGTAAACAGTAGTACGTAGTTTTTTTTTACAATAATAAAGCACATATGTAGTATAATCCGAAAAATATTTATTGTATTTAAATGAATACTCACAAAAGTTAGATCTCATTACACTTCTATTATTTTTCCAAACTGTTTAAACACACTAATAAATTTATCGTGAACAGTTTTCCTAGCCTAATATTCACAAAATTTTATGACTCTATAATTATCAACATTTGTTAAACATCATGACCCACTATTATTGTCCTAAGTTCAATTCAGTTCTCACGAAGTCAACACTAACATTATTTATCTAAAAGAAATATTTTATAGGTCGAATACATAACTATTTTTGTTCAAATATTATTGTTCTTAAAAGGGACTTTCATTAAACGCTTTTGTTCAATATCATAGATGTATATTATCTTTTTAAATACATTGAAAACATATATATGTTTTGGTTTCAATATTTCTATATATAAACATATTATACTTCAAATAAATTAATTACAATTAGATATTGTAAAATATATTTAAATATTTTTATTTTCTCAACAAATACTCCTTAAAGTAACATAATAACATTATTTACGGTTGCAGTAAAAAGAAAGCAAGCTTCTTAGTTGCCTTTTGTAAAATAAGAATGAATCTTATAACAACGGTCTAAATGTTTGGTTTTAACCAGTGGCGGCCGGTAGGTAATCGAACCGGTGGTGCACTTTACTAAAATATTAAAATTAGAAAATGCCACAAAACATAACGAGATGTCAATCATGGCTCAATTCATCATACATCGGGTCATTACTCGGTACATTTCTATGAACTATCTTTTGTTACACGCGCCAGGCGTATTAATGCGTATCTCATACAACATGTATTCGGAGTCCTCGTGCACTCGCCGAAGCGCACGAGATATTAGTTTAGTAAAGCGCACAAACTTTTTGACCATAATTAGAAATTTAATTTTTTATACTTTTTTATGTGTATTATAAAATAAATATTAAAATGTTAATTTAAAAATAAAGATAAAGTAATATTTTGTAATTTTTAAATCTTTTGAATTGGTGGTTCAGCGCACGAGTGCACTTAATGTACAGCCGCCACTGGTTTTAACCCTAGAATGCTATTATTGGTTTTTTTATTGTAATTACATTTTTTACTACAAATTGTTTTTCTTTAACAACAAAAAACCAGAAGCCGATCTTATGTAGTTAGATGACGTAATACTAGTCGAAATACAAAATTTAATTGCCTTCAGTATTCATGTCACGTATCGTTATCTAATACTAACAAAAACGGACCAGGGACAACATTGTTTATTTATTCCTTTTTTTGTATATTTTGCTTTCCAGGACTAATATCTAATTAAAGATAATTGTACTTTGATTTCGTCGTTAGTGTTCTGTTAAACTAATCTTTATTTGCAACAAATAAGTCATACTTTTGTAAACTCACTAAATTGATAGTAATTTTAGAAAAAACAAGTATGTAATTATTATCTTAGAGGCGGACCAAGGCACACGAGAAAGCATACAAAGAAGACAAAAATACGCTACGAAGAATCAATGGCTCTATACGTATTTCAGCAGAATTATTTTACGTTTTTTATGCCCAAAGAAAAAATATATTTATTGGAAATAAGATAACATATTGAAAATAGTTCCTTTTGAAACTAGTATCTTTCATAAATATCATGATTCTTTTACCTAAAGGAGATCAATATGCCATCACAAGATTACACGTTAGGAATATAAACGCAACATATTGTGATGTATCACTTCATTAATACTGCTTCATTATTATTTTTTACAAATGGATGGACAAAGTATCCACTGATTAAAAATATTGTACTTAATGATATATAACGCTTTTTATAAGTTTAAAAAATTACCAAAATATTTAAAATCTATTAAAAAAAACTTCATTTCGTAGACTTTTATGACAGTGCAGTTAGAGTACCTCAACAAGGATAAGTGGAATAATATATATTAAGGATTCTAATAAAATTCTTATAAGAATATAGTTTTCTTATAAAGCCAGGACTTTTAAATAACAATAAAACCTTAACTAGAGCAAACTAATTATTATCTTAAGCCAAAACACCTTAAATTAGTTAAATTCTATTTACAATAATACAAGCCGTGTTCACAACATACTTTCGCGCGTTAAAAGCGAACAAGTCAAGCGTCATAGCTTTAATATCGCTTCGGATGCGTTCGGGAATTTAAAGGTTCGGTTCAAATAAAAAGTGTGTTTCCTAAATCGGCCAATCCTGACGCAGCGTCGTCCTCGGCGCGCTCCTCGGCAAGGCCAGTTGACAGTGAAGCAACTGCAGCCGGAGGACCGCTCAAGCAGCCGAAGCAGCCGGAGGACTGCCGAAGCAGCCGGAGGTCTGCCGAAGCAGCCGGAGGTCTGCCGAAGCAGTCGGAGGACTGCCAAAGCAGTCGGAGGACTGCCAAAACAGTCGGAGGACTGCCAAAACAGTCGGAGGACTGCCAAAGCAGTCGGAGGACTGCCAAAGCAGTCGGAGGACTGCCAAAGCAGCTGAAGGGTCGCGACTGAAGCTGAAGGGTCGCAACTGCAGTTGAAGGGTCGCGTCTGCAGCTGAAGGGTCTCGGCTGCAGCTGAAGGGTTGCCACTATATCCAGCTGTATCGGTACTTGGTCGAAATGACAATGATGATGAATCAATCTAATCATTTACTTCATCTGAAATCTGAATAGTTACTTGCAAGAGATTGTGATAATCTCATTGAAGACACATAAAGACACACAAAGTAATGTAACGTGTGAAAAATAAAATGAAAATAGTCTGTGAGGGCCCTCTAAATTAAAGTTCCTGTTTACACCACTGTTCGTAGCGAGGTTCCGTCGTGACGCAAACCAGGCCTGCATCTGTAATCAAACCAGACAGAAGGCGTCCCAACTGTCTGCGGTTGACGAAAGCAATAGTGCATCGCGCGTCAACACTTCAATAATATGATATTTTAAGGATGATATGAAAATGATAACTATGGACAGCAGCATCACTGACTCGCTTGTCCAATATGCGATCATCTCGCTTATGATATGAAAATGATAACCATGGACGGAAGCATCACTGACTCGCTAGTCCAATATACGATCATCTCGCTTATGATATGAAAATGATAACCATGGACGGAAGCATCACTGACTCGCCAGTCCAATATATGATTATGTATGTGGTTTATGATATGGAAATGAATATAAACATGAAAATGATTATGTGGTTCATGATATGGAAATGAATATGAACATGAGAATGATTATGTGGTTTGTGATATGGAAATGAATATGAACATGAAAATGATTATGTGGTTCATGATATGAAAATGAATATGAAAATGGTTACCATGGACAGAAGCATCATTGAAGCGGTAGTCCAATACATGATTATGTGGTTTATGATATGGAAATGAATATGAAAATGATTATGTGGTTCATGATATGAAAATGAATATGAAAATGATTACCATGGACATAAGCATCACTCAATCGCTAGTCCAATACATGATTATGTGTCAAAGCCAGTCACCAGCTTGTTCTATGTAACCAGGTTTCACTCCCAAGAACTGCGCATGATTCCAAACACCTCTATCGGTTCACAGGTAACCATGGACTCGGCCACCGCTCGTGTAGTTTCCCCACACGAACCGCTGATGAGGTCAAACTGGTAGTAACCACCGGATAGGACTCGAACTACGCCAGGGGTCCACGTATACTAGGTTTTGGGCTGCCTTTGAATTGCGAATATCTAATCAAGAAAATTAAATAATTAAAATTGTGAGAACGCTGTCTCCGCCTCTGACAATTTACGTAAGCCTTGTTTGACTTGATGTATCAGCAGCCGGTGAGCTCCCTGATAATACACACGTACACACAGTGACGGTTAAATAGACAAGGGAAACAAGGTTACACAAACACATTAGTTACTACAGATGGTGATAGTCAAATATATTTACGGATTGTTATTATAATACTAACGCCTCCGCTTAACAAAATGATAAAAAGTTTGAAATAGCTAGTATACCAAGTTGTTAATTAAAATATTTATGCTTTAAAGAACCTAAACTTTTTGTTAAAATTTCAGCTGGCATTTTAGCAGTTTATAAATAATCAATTTTAACAAATTTATCTGCTACTGCCTGTCTTACAAAATGATATCTGACGTCTATATGTTCCTATGGCATACTGGATTCAAAACAAGTTTTTATGCAGTTTGACAATCTTTATAAAAAGTAATTGTTTCTGAATTACTTTTAATTAAATAGCCTTCAATTTCAAAATCAAATAGTCTTTTAAATAAAATAACTTCCTTACTGGCTTCTCACATGGAAATATTATCTGCTTCTGTTCAAGACAAAGCTATATTTCTGTTTTCTGCTTTCAAAAGAAATTACTCTACCAGACAACTTAAAATCCAGAAAAAGATTTTCTATCATTTGAATCTGAACCCTAATCTGCATCACCATATCCTTGTATATAAGAATTATCCTTTAATAAAAACAAAGCAAAACATTTTAGTAACTTTTAAGTAATTCAAAATTGTTTTAAGTGTTTTCAATGAGTTCCATCATATGAGTTATTAAACTGACTCAAATAACGTACACTGTAAGCTAAGTCTGTTCTGGTCAAGACAGCTAAATACATAAAATTACCTATCAGTGGTCTATATGGAATTTTCTTATCACAAGAACTGTTCTTAGATTTTTCTATCCTTACATTAATCTCCATAGAAGTTTCAACAGTTTTACAATTAAACATAGTAAATCATTTCAGAAAGCTTTCTACATATTGTTCTTGATTAACAGTTATAACATTTCATACATATTTACTCTTTAACCTAAACATTGCTTTATTTGACCTAGATCTTTTTTTTTAAATTACTGCTTAAATCTTGTATTAGTGATTAGTTGCCATTTTACATTTAGAGAATACAAACGAAGCTATTATAACTAAACACTTAAACATTATTTTTTTTTTAAGCTTTGTAAATAAACAAGGTTCATACTTAGATTTTAAATGACCTAAAGACCTTAAATGATCACTGACTCTCTCATACCATACATGCAAGGACTGCTCAAGTCCATAAATGACATGTTTAAGCCTTGTTACCATCATTATTATCATCCTCATACAATACAAGATTTTTCATATACACATAATCAATTAGGAAAGCTCTTGTAATACAGATGGTGTAAATCTAAACCTAATTTTACAGTTAAAGACAATAAAAATCTTAGAGTAGAATAATATAGTACAGGGAAAAGTCTCATGATAGCCTACGCTGGCTTTCTGTGAAAACTTGCCACTAATCTTGCATGGTAACACACATTACCAACATTATCAGACTTTATTTTTAAACACCCATTTGTACTGAGCTACCGTAGAATCACAAGAGTTATCCACAAGTTCTCACACATCATTTATCTTAAACAACTCTAATTCTACTTCCATACTTACTCTCAGTTTCATTTAAAGCTCTCTGTGTGTAATATTCATTACATTCTGATCATCTGATTCTACAATACATAAATATTAGTAGGTGAATCTATCAGATACTTTTTTCAATTGTAATAAAAATAAAATAAAATTGTTTGCCCAAAGGGAAAGTTTGGGAAAGTCCAGACTCAAGTCTACTAATGATTTGATGATGATAATAATAGTCTGGTTTTGATTGTGTATCAGAAACACTCTGAAATGAATCACTTACTAAATAATCTAATGGAATATATGTGACATTACTACCATTACATTCAGTATTTATGATATCTGCATTACCATTTTCTTCTTTTTCACTTTGTTACCCGTTGAAACCTTACACTCAATAGTAATATTAACTGTATTTTTGGTTGGTTACATTATAAGGATGTCTCTACTGGTTTTAACTGAGTTGTTTTCAGGATTATAAACCCTACAGCTTTTTAAATTCACTTCAAAGCCTATCAAAATAAGTTCCTTATCTTTCATATCCAATTTCTAATATTTTTCTTTACACCTGACAACTTGCATTAAGTATTTTGTGTATTATTAGATAAATATTGCTACTGAATTCGGTAAGTAAAGTAGAAAACTAGAAAAATTCCAAAATTCACTCACAGTCAGACACTATGAAGCTAAAGAGTGAAACTATATTGGTAAACATGAACTAACCCATCTTATAATGGTTACGAATTAATAAATAAAACTTACCGAAAGCGTGTACTATTAATAAAACAAAAGTTATACCTGTTAGGCTCATGCCTTAATTTGAATTGCTTGTTCGTTTTGTTTTAATCTCCCAGTGAAAGAGTATACAAACCAACAGTTTCGTTATTTTGGACTTCACTGTTTAGTCGCTTTACTTGAGGTAGCGTTAAACTTCTAATATACTGAAACGTAATATGGTGCCTGAAAAAGAATGTGTCCTACTTCTCGATCGTGATCTAAACTTATATTCTTAGATAGAGTTCTGTTCCAATTTTCCAAAACCAACGGTGGTTGTCTTGTCGACGCCACGTGTTTCGAGACTAATGTTATCTATCAATCTTATTCACTCGCAAGTAGGTAATTGTTAAAGTAGATTTGAAAACACATATTTTATCTTATTTATTACTTTTTATGTACTTAATCAAAAACGTATTACATAAATATAACTATGAACGTGAATGCTATCCCACTTCTGAATTAAGGATTCTAATAAAACCCATATAAAAATATAGTTTTCTTATAATGCCAGGACTTTTAAATAACAATAAAACCTTAACTAAAGTAAACTAATTATTATCTTAAGCCAAAACACCTTAAATTAGTTAAATTCTATTTACAATAATACAAGCCGGTTCACAACGTTTTCGCGCGTTAAAAGAGAACAAGTCAAGCGTCATAGCTTTAATATCGCTTCGGATGCGTTCGGGAATTGAAGGGTTTGGTTCAAATAAAAAGTGTGTTTCCTAAATATATAATATTTGCTTCAATCTCAAAAGCTTAATTTATTAAGCATTATTAAAACAGTACTTACCTTATCCTATTTAACTTACTTGTACATTATATTTAAATTTATTGTAGTTCCTTTGATCAATACAATTAAATTTTTGTCTTAGTCTTTTTATTTGCTCCCTTATCACCTATAAAATTAATCGATACTGTAATAATAGTGAAATGTGCAAAATTTCAGTAGTTTAAAAAAATCACAGCTTTATATGAGTTTGCAAATAATATACATACATATTATATATTTGTGGAGTCTCCTTACCTGTATCCGAATTCCGAGTTAACTTTCACAGTACGAACTGCACAGTGCGAATTACTTCCACAGTGCGAATTAATTGCAAGGCTTACAACAAAACATATAATAAAGGATCTTTTTGTTATTCCACTACGATGTTACATAAGCATCATACTATTTTTAAATTTAAATGAGATTTAAGATTAAGACTTAAGATTTTACCTCATCTACCAATAATATTAACAGCAATATTTGAAACTATCGAAAATTATAGCGCTTCTGACCCTTTTACGACACCTGTGGTGAAATTGGCCTTTATTT